GTAGAGAACTCTGTTCTAGTTGTTTTTTGGCAGCACAGTTTGAAAACTGCTGCTATAAAACGTATCTTTGTTACTTGAAAGATGACCACCCATCTCTTTACTTGCTGCGCAAGGGCACTGAGTACTAGAAATCAGCACGTAGGAGAAACTGGAAGCACACACACTAGCATCCTACTAGTTAGACAATAAGCTCATTTCCTCTTAAAACAGCATTTTGAGCATTCAGGTTTCAGAATGATTTATTTTCTCTCCTTGTTTTACCAAGATAATGGTCCAAGGATCCTTCCAGTGAAGTCAAATTTTACTCTAGTGCTGCTGCAAACACACACACACAGAGGAGAAAACGTAACACGGCAAGCATTCTAAAGGCTGGGATACTAAGAAAAAAGCCCTAAGAAGGCACAAAACATTCCTCCAACAGAGTGTTTTTCAATCTCAGCCTAACTCGCATTTTGGGCTGGATAACCAACCCCTTACTGAGGGGAGCAGAGCCAGCAGCACCCCCACCCCAGTTGCATCAACCAAGTATGTCTCCAGACAAGGCCAAATGTCCCCAGGAATGGAAGGGTTGGGAAGGCAAAAGAGCCTTGGTTGAGAACCCTGCTCTACGAGGAGGAGAAAAACACCTGCTTAAAAGGAGAAAAGGATATACGTGGCAGCCAGAGAAGTTTCTTAAAGCATACCAAGGTTGAGCCAGTCAATCCATTTCATTTTGGAAAATGAAAGGCCAACCTTAACAACCATCTAGTAGCTCATCCAAAACCAAGAATCTGTCTACCTGGCAAGCTCCTAAACCTCAAATAAATCAAAGTGGTTAGGAATCAAGAAAGAACTCTAATTGGAAAACTTACAAAGAAAATCATTAGTAACTTAAGAAAGTTTTAAGACGATAAAAGCATACTCAAAGACATACTAAGTGCTTTTCGAGACCTCAAGGCAAACTCTCAAGATGGCAAATTGGTTTCATCTTCTCTGCCAACTCCAATCAACTGGTAGTGACTGCCTGGAGCCCAGAATTGGGCAGGATTCTGAGGTTGAATGTGAGCTCAGGGAAAGAGTATCCGCATGGAACACCAATGTCTGACACATACAGGCAAAGGGCCGTGGTAACACGTATACCTCGCACTCACCTTCTTGGTGTTCAACTCAACTTTCTTTATGCTTAAAATAATACCCATCAAATTTGGCTGTAATAAAACATTTTGGGGGGAAAAAGTAATCCTCCACAGTGTCACTAGGCTTACCTAATTCAGGGGCAAAAAGAGGAGAAGGAGGAGGAGGAGGAGGAGAAGGAAGAAGGGGAGGAGGAGAAGGAAGAAGGGGAGGAGGAGAAAGAAGAAGGGGAGGAG